TCAATGAAGCCCAATAAACTAAAAACAAATTAAATTGTAACAAAAAATTTCCATACATTTAGTAATGGCAAGGTTTTATTAATAAATTTACTTTTTGTTAACAATATTTAATGTGATTATTTTTTTTCTATTTGCTTTTTGGCAAAAACTAATTTGGTCCTCGCGAGAAAACAAGTGTTACATACTGTTTTAAACAATTATAATAAACTAACACATGCCAAAACTTTCATAAAATATCATACACGATGCATCCCTATTCAAATGAGTAGATTTATTTCATTACAATTATTTTGATTTGCAAATAATTTAATAGTAAATGGGTAAAATTTTGTATCACTTAACAAACAATTTGATATAGCTCATGCAGTTTGTAAAATGGAAAAATTTTGTATCAGTTAGCAGGGGTCTGTCCAGACATTTTGTAAAAGGTCCGTTTTTGTAAAATTGTGAAAAAATTACTCGTAATTTGTGAATACAAAATAAACGTTAAGTCGCATTCTTTCAACCACGGTCCGCTTTTGTGAATTTGTGCAAATAGGGTCCGTTATTGCAAAAATACTTTTTCAAGGAGTTTTTAAATTGTAAAGACATACAAGATTATGCTCAACACTGTAAAATTATAATTAAAAAAAAATAAATTTTAAAAAATAAACAGCAATTGCAGCTACTAAATTAGCGATGCAATATATAAATATTTGGTATTTAGCCTATACTGCTGTGCGCAGAATATTCATTTCGGACGAATAATGGAAGAATCGTCTGCCGAAGACAAAATTTAGTTCGTTAACATCTGTCCCCCCCCCACCCCTGGGCAGGGTTTATTCGATTAACAAAACAATAATGATGATAAACAAATTTGTAAAGGGTCCGATTAAAAGATAAATTATTTTGTGAATTTGTGATTTTAAGTTATAATATTTTGTGAAGGGTCCGTTTTTATGAAAAGATATTTTGTGAAGGGTCCGTTAACGGACCCAAATTTCTTATAAACAGACCCCTGGATAGAATACAACTCGTAATTAAACCGCAAAAAGCTTCTTAAATTTGCCTTGATAAAAGAACAATATATTTATATTTAAACCACTCCTACTCCATTACCATCTTTAACCACTCCTGAAGATAAACTCACAAAACATGTGCCATTTTATCAACTCCTCAGAGCCGAAGAACATTGGAAAGCGACTTTCGCCAAACCGCAAAAAGGGCTCATTATCGCCTACTTTTCACCTTCGACCGCAAAGATAAAGTTCCCATTATCTACCTGATCCACAGCTCCACCCAAGGAAATCAAATCAACGATTTAAAAGTCGCGTTGTCCCACTTGTTCATCAATCCGTGGAAGATCAACTTCCATCAGGCTCATCTTCTGTTGGGAAAGTGAAAACGATTATTTTTGTCTGGTAACGCGAGAACGCGGTCTACCTTGGTAACTTCACTTTTGCCGTATCCACCATGGTTTTGTTACGCCTTTATCCCTCTCTTCTTAACCGGACGCATATATTAATCGGTCTATATTTCCCTGGCTTCATTCTCTCATGTTAATTACTTCCTTTAATGGTTGGTTAAGTTGGAAAACAAGGTCATTAGTAAATAGCTCGTATAGGTGAATGAGATGTTTTGTTCGAAAAATGGGATTCAGTTTTCTAAAATAATAGAACCTAAAACACTTAGTAAAAAGTTTTAGTACGATGTTAGTTTTTTTTTACTTAAATATGATCTCTATTTTAGTTTACCTATTTTACCTATTATTTAGCTCTATTTTAGTCGACCTCGTCAAGATTGCAGAATTATATAATGGCCGTTGAAGAGTTGAGACTTGACTTGAGACGTGGAATAAATAAATTGTTCTTTTTTTCTTTCTGTTCCATTTGTATCTTATGTGAAATTTATGGGGTTGTATCGAGGACCCCCCGGAATTTATCCGCAGAACCTGGCGTTTGCGGATTCACTCGGCAAAAGAATTTTACCAGCCGTACCGAGTACCCAGACCCATTTTTTTTTTTGTCTCATGACCCAGTACTGGGTTCCTGTAACCGGCCAATGTACCCGGAATGGGGTATCCAGCACTTGGTTTACACTCATTTATGTGCGGTACAATAGTATTCAAATTTACATTAACTTTAAAACTATTCGCGAGAAATAGTTGCTGTTTCCGAAATTCATGTATTCCATCAGTTCTTCTTGTGTGAATTTTCAGTCCAATAAACCTTGATAAAGTGTAAGATGTTTGCTAAAGAGAGGTGTCCGCTATAGCTCAAATTCAGAAATCTAATACTGAAAACTATTTGAACTAAATTAATATAAGAGTTAAATAAAAACAAAATTAGAAATAGGGAATTACATTGATTTTTGTTTCAAGTTAATATAATCATAATGAATAAAGTTGAAAGATAACTAAAAAATATACATAATTCATGTGTATTACTTTCATACTAAATTTGTTTTCAGCAAATTATAATTTTTAAAATCAAAATTTTCTGTAAGCTATTACCATATGCGAGGGATAATTGCCAATGAATGGATTGAATATCGTATATTTTGGTTTTATTAACCAGAATTATGTTATTTTTTTCTTTCATAAATGTTATTACTATACCGTATGGTAATTTTACCACAATTTAGTTCCTCCAATAATTCCAAATTTTATCGGATTGCCGGAATCGACCGGGTAACAAAAGAAATTTTTGCCGTGTACCCGGACCTAGCGAAATTTTAGGATTTATTACATCACTAATAATTTATATTCTATTCCAATTCTATATTTGTAATCATTCCATTTGCATTCTGGAATAGTTTTCACGGAGTTTTTTGCTGTCAATAAAATATTTATGTTGATTAATATTGACTATTAATGCTGTTAAAAATCGCATTGTTCCATATGATCGTCCAGCTTAGAAAGATCAAATTCCAGATTCATCTTCTTTTGAATAAATTGAAAACGATTATTTTGTCTGGTAACATAAGAATGCTGTCTACTTTGGTAACGTTACTCTTCATTGTAATCCACCATGGTTTTGTTATGCCTATATCTTTCTCTATTTAACCAGACTCACATATTAATTGGTTTATATTCCTCTGGCGTCATTCTCTCATGTTAATTACTTCCTTTAATGGTTGGTTAAAGTTAGAAAACAAGGTCATTTGTAAATTACACGAATAGGTGAATGAGACGTTTTGTTCAAGAATGGAATTATGTTAGATTCCTAAAACTAGTTAAAGCAGGATGGGTTACATCATTTGAAATAGAAGAATCCTGTAACAGAATTGCCTTCGTAATAAGATTTAGTTATAAGCGAGCTTATCTGCTTAAATATGACCTTTATCTTAGTTAGTTTCGACCTTGTCAAGACTCTAAGATGGCATTCGCAGACTTTGCATTTAGAATATATAAATAGTTTTTTTTGTTGTTCCATATGCAGTTTTTTTTAAGAAAATTATATTCTATTTGTATGTTGCTAATATTTCTTTGTTGCAATAAATTTTTCACACGAACTCATGTTTGTGAATCAATGTTTCAAATTCAAATTCCAGATTATTAAAAAATCAACTGAACTCTTTGTGGTTGAAAGAATATTAATGCTGATTTAGTTTAACTTGTTTATTTTTTAAAATATTTTTATTGTGTTGCTTTAAAAATTAAAGCATTATATTAAAGCATAAGCAAGTAAAAAATTCATTTTAAATATAATAATAATTTATTTCAAATTTTTATCGTAAGTTCGATCAAACATATGAATAATTTATAAAAATGGAATACGAATGAGGGGCATGAAAAGAAGTCATCCTAAATATATACTACGTACTTGTTTTTGAGAACTTTTTAACTTTCTAAGAGGAGTTTTTAAGGAACCTTCTTTCGATAACATATTTTGTGAAGGGTCCGTCTATAACTTAAAAAATTCTTCAATCAAAAATTTGGCCAAACCCTTTATGTTAAGTTTCCAAAATCACCCATTTTGAAAAATCCCATTTGTTGCTTCTTTGTCTTGGCAAATACTGCACTTCAAAACTATGTTTATTTGGTAATATTTAAATGTGATTTTAAAGTAAATATCTTCACTTAAAAAAACTTTCTAAGATTGATAAGCGACTTTCCGAATGTTTTTAACAGAAGAATTGAGATAATTTTTACGAAAATTCCAATTATTTTTAATATTTTTTTCACCTTAAAAGTTAGTTGAGTTTAATGAATATCCTAAGAAGTCTAATAACTTTTGGAATTTTAAGGCTGCAGTCATTATTTATTTTTTAATAGATTCTAAGAGGACGTATGTTAGATAATATAGAAAATTCAAGAGACATTTTGACAATTTTCATAGTTTAGAAGCAATCGTATGGAAATAAAATTAAAGTTCATTTATAAAAAATATTAGTTTATACATGCTACTGCCATTGTATGAAATCCTTTATTCTATAGATACATTGTCATTGTATGGGATGTCTAAAATAGAAGGTCAAATGTGAATTGATAAATGCTTCACACATTGCCTAGGCATTCCATAGAAGAACTTTTGAAAACCCTATACAGGCATACAATGACAGAAGAAAGTAAGGAAAATACATGACTATTATTGAAATATCTTTTATTATGCATTGAATCTTGAATTAACAAGTAAAATAATCTTTTTTATCGCTTCTACATCAATATCTATTATTTGTGAGGTGGTGACAATAAATTGATAAACTGTTTTCCTTTTTCTCCTTTGTCAAAAACTAGTGTATGTAAATAAATCATCCCTACAACTTTTCCGAAATCTTTCTCCCCCTTCTTACTTCTGATTTCTCTTTCCCACACTACCCCCAAATGCAAGGAAAAAAAGAATAATTTGCCCCTGTTCTAGAACTTTCCTGCAAAATTCCCAGCACCGGCCGAGATGCTGCTTCGAAAGGGGTTAACAAAAGTAGGAGCTACAACAAAAGGATCCCGAAAATCGCGCCAAAACTATCCGCGGTGTACATTTTCCTCCCTCCTCCATATTACAGCAACCCTGTAGTCGGAACGTTTGGAGAGAGCTGCTTCGTTTCGCCCAGTGCGTCACTATGAAGTGTTTAGAATGAGTTGTGTTGATATGTTCTGTATCAAAAAATGATCTGTTTTGAAATAGGATTACCTTCCAATTCATTGAAAATCAACTGTTCTTCTTAGTAAGGTGAGTACACAAGGTTGTCAGTACGATTTTCTTTGCATGTACCTTAATTAAAGTTACATCTTCGATCACCGGGTTGGCGTAGTTCTAAATTACGATGGTAGCGGTAGAATTTGTCGTGTCTATGCGGCATTACCTCTACGCTTTTTCCAGCGCATATCCATGTGAAGTCGCTTTATTAATAACATCACATTTGTTACTATTAAATTATTCACGAATACGGCACATATATACTTTTTCGTAATTGGTAGATAGTTTTTATTATTTTTATATGACTGTCATGTATTTAGATTTTTTTTTTGTGAAGGATTGTTTCAAACCTAACTTTGCTTTATATTTTTTGTTTTGAAATAACAATATCCATAGGATTTAATTTTTACTTCGTTGTTAAGTTTTGTATGTACAATTTTAAAATAGGCATTATCCATATGGTGTTAAAACCTACGACGCACATATTTGCATTCATGATATTTAATTTTATTTATGATTTTGTTAATTGACATCTTTTAAGAAGTAGGTTATGTAAATCAAGGAATTTTTTTTCATCTTTCAAATTTAGATTTGTTCATTTATATCAAACTGAAAAATGACTTTTTTGAGGCCCGATATAATTTAATTTTTCTTAGTTATAAACTAGTTGGAAATGAAATTATTTTATTGATAAGAATCATAATGATTGTATATTTGTTAATTGAATCAACACTGATGTAATTATTTAATAAAATGTAAATGATCTGAAAGGAAAATTAATTTTGTGTCCCCATAATTTAAACATCCTGATTACAAAATCTCAGCAGCTGCAGCTATTTATTCACACATACATATACATATTAAAAATTTGGAAAATTTTCTATGTTAAACTATATTAAAGTTTTCCTTTTTCTGTAAAAAAGTACCGAAAAAATGTTAATCATGTTCTCTATTCAACTGATTTTCGTGACCCCCGTCGGAAGGAAATTGATGAGTGCTATGTTGTCGGGATCAAGTTAGGACGTGACATTCACGTCTGACAATCCTTGTAAGTGGGCGCCTGTTTTTGGGGGCTTGAAACATGCCGACTGTTATTTCGAGTTAATGTATTTTTGAAGCGAATCAAGTTTTTAATCAAGCATTATCTTACTGTCTCAGTTTCTTGGAATTATTTAATTAAAGTATAAAATATTTTATATAATCTGATAAATCTTTAACAGGGTTCTGAAAGTCAAATATAAAACCACTTGGACGAAATTAACTAACAGGACGTCATATTAATCAGTATTCATTGACATAACTAAAATATACCTGGCAAAAATTTATCTCATTGAGTTTTATAAGTACTAGCAGTCCAATAAAGCCAAGATGCATTTGTAGAAGTCAAATAAAAATCCCTTATTTTGACGAATAAATCCGAAAAACTTGTATTTATTAATATCCCTTGGTATAATTAAAAATTTCTTGGTTAAATTTTTTTGCTTTGTTTTAAATTTTATGAATATTCTCTCCCCATAAGAAGTGCGACATATACCAGGGGTCTGTTTAGAAGAAATTTGGGTCCGTTAACGGGTCCGACCCTTCACAAAATATCATTTCATAAAAACGGACCCTTCACAAAATATTTTAACTTAAAACAAATTTGAGAAGGGTACGTTTTTATCTTCATTATTATTTTGTTAATCGAATAAACCCTTTCCAGGGCAGTTTTGTCTTTGGCAGACGATTCTTCCTTTATTCGTCCGAAATTAATATTCTGCGTTCAGCAGTATAGGCTAAATACCAAATATTTGTTTGTTGCATTTCTAATTTAGAAGCAGCAATTGTTGTTTATTTTTTAAAATTTAAATTTTTTAATTAGAGCATAATCTTGTATGTCTTTACAAATTAAAAACTCCTTGAAAAAGTTTTTTTTTTGTTGCAATAGCGGACCCTATTTGCACAAATTCATAAAAGCGGACCCTGGTTGAAAGGATGTGAGTAATTTTTTCACAATTTCACGAAAAACGGACCTTTCACAAAATGTCTGGACAGACCCCTGTATACCAATGATTCTCAGTGAACCGCTGTGGCTGAGGGGATAGAGCGCTCGCCCCTCAATAAGGCGACCCAGGTTCAAATCTCACCAATCGATGTGAATTCTGATCCCCTGCTCGCACTGACCGCAGTGCTAATGTAAAATATTCTCAGCGGTAAAGGGTTAGTGGTTTAGAATCCCCTTGCCGGTGGGCTAACCGTAGGAGGTTTTCGTGATTTTTCTCTCCTTGGAACGTTAATGCCGGTTACTAGCAGCATAAAAGTCCCTTAGGAAGACTAGACTTCCCATAGTGCCAAAAGTCCAAAATTATAAGAAAATGGGTAGTCGTACTCGTAAACTCAGAATTGCGTGGGTTTTTCAACGTCTGTTCTAAAATAAAATAGAAAACTTTAGTCTCTGTTCCTTTCTAAGACCCTCTCCGACTTAAAGACTGTATCTCATTTTTAGCAAATTTTGGTGAATGACCAAGTAGTATTGATAAAGATATCCGACGGTCTAAGTCTGATTACTGGAGAAATTCTATTATCTTATATAAATAATTCGGTTCTTGAGAATCTATTTGATGATACTAAGCAACTCAGTGATTTCGCTTACACTCTATGACGTGTTAAATAAGCCGAAAATCGTAGGGACGCATAAGTAAGATGCGTCCTCTTAGACGCGTTATTCTTCGGCGAGTTAAAAAAAAAAAGAAGAAAACTTGCAGACATATGTAGACAAAATTTTAGCAGAATTTAATGTTATGCAATTCTTTGTTTTGCCTATCAATTGATATTGCAATCATGAGTGTAAATATTAATAAATGGTTAAAAATATAGATGAATCATATTTTAAATAGGGAACCGCTTTTAGTAAAAAGGGATTTAGAAATATGGAAGTCGTATGTTTTAAGGACCCGTTGTTTTCTATAGCAGAATTATGTAACGATTGATTCCTCTACCTAGTGATTTTACAAAACGGGGAGCATTGATAAAACGAAAGTGGTGCTGAGAGTTTTTTTCTCCTTAAACCAGGGTTCCCATTTGGTTTGGAAAAATGCAACATTGGTTGTAAATTAACGTTAATGTTAGCAAGAATTTTCTATATTCAGTTAACATTTTTATGTTTTCAGGTCTGATAAGACAAACTTGTCATGCAGATATAGTTCTTAACAAAATAACATTATGGCGGTAGCAAATGTATTTATCTTCATCATCATCCACATTTCTCTACCACAATTACTTTTTTCTAAGTTGAAGAATTTTCTGCAATTGTCATTTGTATTGAATTGGTATTTCGTCATTTAGATTTCTAAATTTAATAACATGCGATGATCTAGTTTAAGTATTGAACAGTACATTAATGTTCTTAATAACAAAAAAAGGCTGTTTTCAAGGGATAGAAATGCTTTTTAGACAGATTCCTCGATGTTTTTATCGATTTTGAAGCTGATTTTCTGAAATCGATTAAAATGTCCAAGTTTTTCTAACCTCCCTACTTAAAAAACGCAAGACAAAAAAGAAATAAAAAATTATGCAGTGGAGTTTTTCAATTGAAAGGTTAAATTTATTGTTAAAATTTAATTCAGTAAGATTATTTTTAAAATTTTAAAGTGAAAGAAATTGCTAACAAAATATGTTTTTCTTTTTTAAATTAGACTTACGTAACGACTTCTAAATTAGTTTTATTAATATATGCAAATAGTCACTCTATACTTAAAGATGACCAAACTTAATGTATCTGAAAATTATCACTTTTCCATGGGCATAATTGGATATTTTTCCAGAAGAGGTTTGTTATCTCAAAACGAAAGTGAAAGTAGAAGAACTTTAATTGAGGAAAAGGATTTTTCTTTTTCTTTCTTATTAATTAAAATGAAAATGAAAGGAAAACAAATTTAATTAAGGAAAAATTAATAGTTCTAGATAAATGACAAAGAAGTAATTGATTATTGAGTATTTTAATCACGATAAAAATATTTCAATTGCCTTAATATTCTATAATTAAACTTATTACATGTCTGCATTTTTTTTTTTTTTNTTTTTTTTTTTTTTTTTTTTTTTTTTTTTTTTTTTTTTTTTTTTTTTTTTTTTTTTTGTCCAAGGATGATACCCACGTTTGACTATTTCTAACAAAAGTAATGATAGCTTAGTCTAGAAATTACAATTGCAAATAATTCAAATTTGTCCTCAACTACTGTAAACTGCATATTTTTCGTAGCTATTACAAAGTAGTTAGTACTGTTAGGTCGTTTTAAATGTTCTTTTTCAGAATATTAGTGATGATTTTTACTGAGGGGAAGCTGACTATAAATTTATGTTTTTTTAAAAATAAAAGCCGAATTTTTTTTTTCACAAATATTTTTAAGTGCTTCCTTACTGAATATACAAGGAGCAATGTGTCTTTTTCATGGACGAAAATCTTTACCCTTTCTCTCTTTTAACCCCCTTTTGAAATAATAGCCCATCCCTCTGGCAATTCAAGTTGTCTAATGTAATTGGTTTGTCTTGTACATTGTTTCTTTATAAAACATCGACGATAGACGACGATTTCTTTCTTCAATTTTTTTTTTTTTTTTTTGTGCATTGAATGGAGCGATTATTTTGTTTTACGCATCAATTTCCTTTTCATATTTTATAACATAACCTGGGGTCTGTCCAGACATTTTGTGAAAGTTCCGTTTTTTGTCAAATTGTGAAAAAATTACTCACTTTCTTTCAACCAGGGTCCTGTGTTATGAATTTGTGCAAATAGGGTCCGGTTGTTGCAAAAACCTTTTTCAAGGAATTTTTAAATTGTTAATATATACAAAGATTATGCTCAGCACTGTAAAATTATAATAAAAAAAATTGAATTTTCAAAAATAAACAGCAATTGCTGCTTATAAATTAGAGATGCAACATACAAATATTTGGTATTTAACCTATACTGCTGAACGCAGAATATTCATTTCGGACGAATAATGGAAGAATCGTCTGCCGAAGACAAAACTTAATTCGTTTACATCCATCTTTCT